TTACAAAAGCTTTTTATTTCAGATAAATGCTGATCTTTGGATCTTTCTATTCATCAAAGAATCCTGAAAAAATGTACTCAACTGTTTTAAATATTGATAATCAGCAAATCAGCATATTAAAATGATTGCTGAAGGATCATGTGACACTGAAGACTGGAGTAGTGATGCTGAAAATTTAGCTTTGATCACATGAATAAATTACATTTTAAAATATATTCAAATAGAAAGCAGTTATTTTAAATAGTAAAAATATTTCAAAATGTTACTGCTTTTGGTGCATTTTGGATCAAATAAATGCAGGCTTGGTGAGCAGAAGATAATTCTTTAAGAAACATTAAAAATCTTGCAGTTCAAAAAACTTTGACTGTTAGTGTAGGCTGATTATTCTTATAGATTGAAACATGCATTAACCAGGATAACGAGTATGAAACATGCTCCGAGTTGCTTCAGAAAACAAAAAAATAGAGCAACCAACAAAAGCATGTTGCTGGAAATGGGTTTATTATTGAAAATGCAAACTGATTGTCTGCCAGCAGGAGGCGCTGTGAGAGCGGTGGAACTAGCGGTTTCTCCAGTAATGGCTGTAAACAAAGCAGCTCCGCTCATGAACGCTACTTTATCAGATAAAAATGCCATCTAAACTATTCTGAAGACAGTCGGTTCCCTTCAGAGATACATTCATATAAAACACCCGCGACGCGTTTTGATTTTGAAAAGTGCAATGCTCATGTTTATTCAATGAAGTCAACGCCACAAATAAATCAATGTATGGGAAACACTGGTAATATATATCGAAATATCGGAAATATGTTTAAAAATCATATCACCGTTATTGAAAAAAATTATACTGCGATACATATTGATATTGAATTATTGTCCAGCCCTATACAGGCTCTGTGTAGAGTTATACAGTAAGAAAGTTATTTCCCTTAACCAGGAAATTAACGTTCTTAGAATCGACAAACAGTTGACCCTGAGAGGTCAAGTAAATATCTACAGCGGATCTAAATATTTATAATTAATTATAACTAGTTATGATTAATTATTCATATTTCCCCATGAGCTGACAGAGATCATGATTCTCCTACGAACAGACAGCTAAACAAAATAGCATGTAATGTACTAGAGGTTCTGACAAAATATGAATTGCTGCAGTCTATATTTTTTAAATTTGAATTATTGCAAATTCTGCACCTCTTCTGTGGCTAATTTTAAATTCATAATGATTCTTACTCCGTGAAGCCAAGCAGCAGAAGTACAGTGCCAATATGCAACTACTACTGGCCCATTTTGGGGTGAACTAAATATACAAGACTAGTTTTGATAGACGATAGTATCGTGTATCGACGATAGTCAGAGATATCGCCTGTGGCTGGTGCCACTGACGATAGCAAGATCAAGATCATCATCATCATCATCATCATCATCATCATCATGATGTTATTAGCAGTTAGTTCTCCTGTGGCTCAGTGGTAGAGCATTGGGTTAGCAGCGCGAAAGGTCATGGGTTTGATTCCCAAGGAACACACATACTGGTAAAAAATGTATAGCCTGAATGTACTGTAAGTCACTTTGGATAAAAGCGTCTGCTAAATGCATAATTTATTATTAATACTATCTAATTAATATTAGGGCTTATTTGTTCAATTATATTTATTTTTCTGCGTTTTAACAGTGTTACGCGTTATAACCAATCACACACGATACTGTTATGCTTACGAATGCAATGGCCAATCCGAGGCGTTCAGATGAGTCATCGCTGAAACAGCGGAGTTTCGTTGTTCAGCGCGCGCTGACTGAATTCTGACTTGTGAATTCTTTCATCATAAACAACAAAGTGCAGATGTACGTACGATGTAAGTATAAGAGATTTATTCATCATACAGTGTAGACAGCTTCACTGATTTTAACGGGAGTGTATTTTAAAGTGCATAAACTCGCGCTAGACTGAGCTTGCGATGTTCTTTGGTAATGTAAATGTTCTTTGCTCGTTTTCTGTAGTTGTTTTTTGAATAACTGAGGAAATATAAGCATTATAATTAACCAAATTAACAATTCGTCTAACTCTCGCATGCTCTTTAAAACATTTTCCTCCCTCCTTTATCCTCCTCCCCCTCCTTCATCAACTCTAACAGCTGACGACTTTGCCACATTCTTCATTAATAAAATTACAAACCTCGTTGCACAATTTGCCATACCACAAACTGTCAAACACATCTTACCAGCAAACATACACTCGTTTTCATCCTTCTCTCCACTCTCTGAGGCAGAAGTCTCTAAACTCATCCAGGTCCAATCATCCTACTACTTGTCCACTTGATCCTATTCCATCTCATCTCCTTCAAGCCATTTCTCCTGCCGTTGTACCTGCACTCACTCACATCGTTAACATCCCTTCACACTGGTGTTTTTCCCTAAGCATTTAAACAGGCTCGTATAACCCCACTTCTTAAGAAACCCCCTACAGAGAGCTACAGACCGGTTTCCCTTCTACCTTTCATCACAAAAACACTTGAACGTGTTGTGTTCAACCAAGTCTCAGCCTTTCTCACACAGAACAACCTCCTGGCCAGCAACCAATCTGGCTTCAGAAGTGGACATTCAACCGAGACTGCCTTGCTTTCAGTTGTTGAAGCCCTAAGACTGGCAAGAGCGGCTTCCAAATCTTCTATACTTATTTAGCTGGATCTGTCTGCTGCTTTTCATATGGTGAACCACCAGATTCTCCTGTCAACCCTATTGGAAAATGGCATATCAGGAACCCCACGCCAGTGGTTAGAGTCTTACCTCTCAGATAGGTCCTTCAAGGTATCTTGGAGAGGTGAGGTGTCCAAGTCGCAACATCTAGCTACTGGGGTGCCTCAGGGCTCAGTACTTGGAAAACAACTAAAAACACATCTGTTCCACCTTTATTTGACCCTCTAAATCTAGAACTTTCTATTCTATTTTAATTCTACTTTATATATATTTAACACTAGTGCATGGTGTATTTTTACTTCCGGGACCCTGTTGCACTAAAGCAGATCGTCATATTTGTTCTGTAATGTCAGGAACTATATCGTCTAGCGGAGGAATAGTAATTAATAAATTTGCTAAGCAAAATAACGTTTTACGTGTGCCCTTAATATTTTATATCGTACCAAAATGCACTTTAACCGTCCATTACTATATTCACTAAAGTCAGCTTCTGTGTGTTTCAAGGCGATGGAATATAATACGTTTACATTAGTAAAATGACTAACCGCAGAATATGGTTACCATGATAAAGCATATCCCAGCCTCAAGCGCAGATCACCTGTACCTGTATATAAGGGTAGGTGTTCTTGATCAAGTAGAACATCTTGCGGTGGGAGTTCAGATCACCCAGCGTGAGCTTTTCACTGGCCCCTTCTTTTGTTTTGCCCTTTGTCTTCTCTTCTAGTGTGTTATCCTCCCTGATCCTCTTCACCTCCCGTCCGCCCTGCACCGCAGCCTCCATGGACAGCGCGAGCAGGTCTCTCAGATCCACAGTCCTTTTCTGTCTGAATGAGGCGATTCTACTGGATAAAACTCCCGCGTATAGGTGATAGACCACACCGACTCCCAGCAAGCAGAACACGGCTATGCCGAGCGGGGACAGCCGGATGCCCATCGGAGCCATCACAAAGGCGGACGTGCGAGCAAAGCCGATGAATATGAAAACAGATCAACAGCTAAACTTGACGTGTTCCTCTTTGGTGAGCATTTGCACGTAATTTGAACGCAAGTATAACGCAAACGATTAGAAAGACGTGCGAGCTAATCGAAAGTAACTTATTTCCTTTACTGATCAAATCCAAATTAGGTCAAGCGAAAGCTTCCTTCATTGGTTGGTAGTATTTTCCCCAGTCTTAGTACTAATATCTGCTTGGCTGTAACATACTGTATGCATTCCACGTCCACAGTTGTGTCAAGCAAGGCCGAACTACACTCCGTTTTTCTTCCAGGTCATGAAGAAACAGAAAACCGTTTTGAGCACGAGAGAGCGCCCTCTACTGCTTCAGCATCATCTGCTGAGATTTGCAAGAGTGTCTAGCTGCGTCCGAAATCGCATACTTCCATACTATATAGTAGGCGAGGCGAGTAGTATGTCCGAATTCATAGTATTCGAAAAACAGTAGGCGAGAAGTACCCGGATGACCTACTACTTCCGGGTATTGATATAGACCATTCTCCCGATTCAGTGTCTTTTGATGTTAGTAAATCTTATATTGGTAAAATTTGTTTTTCATTAAATCCCAAAAATAATAATAGAGCTATCCGTACTCTTTTCCAGAGAGAAATTGTTACTGTACCTTATGTTTTGTCTCATTGGGTCTCTTTTTTTGAACGGAAAATTTATTTGCTGGAGAAAAGTGTGGTTGTTACCACAGAAATATCATCTTAGAAATAAGATTAAAGAAGTTTCTTAGAAGCTTATTCATAGATTTTATCTAGCAAATCATTATTTACAAAAAATTTAAAAAGGAATACATGTAAATTTGTATTTTTTGTAATGAGTATGAGGAAACTGCCTTGCACTTATTTTGGTACTGTACATACTCGGTTACACTATGGTGTAAGGTCCAAAAATGTATTAGCGAAAATATTCAGAGTTTAAGACCTTCTTCACTCCTATGGGAAAATTTACTCTTTGGTTTTACTGACTATCCTGACCAAGAGGAACAGTACTTTTACTTAATTAATTTACTTATTCTATTGACAAAATTTCACATTCATAAGTGTAAATTTACCAATTAAAAAAAAATAATTTTATAAAATAAAAATATTTAAAAATATTTATATATATTGACAGTATCAGAGACTCTGTGAATAAGAAAGTTTGCAAACTTTACAATATATTTATTTGATTTTATATATACGTACAAGTGTATGTATGTATCCTGTATTTTTGTTTTGAAGTTTTATACTTTCCTCCTGGCAATTGTTTTTTGTTTGTTGTAATTTGTCCTTCTATCTTTTTCTTTTCTTATTTTAATGTTGTTTTATTGTGTGTTACTGTTCCTTGAATAAAAAAAGAAATTTAAAAAACCTACTACTTCCGCACGAATTCCGTAGCATGCATACAATGGACACTTTACTGTCCTATGAGGCCACAGGAGAGGAGGCTTCATATTCGAAAATGGGGGAAGGCGGCGACGTGGCTCTTTTCAAGTGTAAGTACCTCAGGGAAAAACGTTGTTCATTGTGGTTAAATTGCACTTGTTTAACATGATCTAAGTAAACGGCTGACTTATTGAAAGTTTAAACATTGTAAATCGATGAGATGATTTCGTGAATCGGCTGTAAATAGCTAGTGTCAATGCTGTTGTATATCAGCTTGTTAACTGCTTTTTTAATGGAGACGTTCGTTGTTAATCAGTTTAATGAGATTAGAAAATTCCACGGACTTTGAAACATATTTTCCCCTTTTTACTTATATTTAGTTGATATTTTGTTAGCTACATACTAAGCTACTGTTAATAAATATGCCACAGCTTGTCATAGTAATGCAGTAATCTAATGAATGTAATTGACTGTCTTGCATTTCAGACCCAGGATATCCAACAAAGATATCGAGGAACTTCCCCTTGTGGTTGGTGATGGCCTGCAGCTGAACAGAGTGGTACAGCTTCCTATTAAAATAGCATGGGGCATCACTTGCTGGTGGCTTGATCCGGATGTGGCATCCGTCTATTGCACCAGCTACCATGTGGAAAACTGGAGACCCAGCCAGCTGGGCAAAACCTGCCCCCTTAGCCTCCAGGTCATCCGGGGTCGGGAAAGCGATCAGCCTCCTCAAAATTCTGATGACTGCCCTGCTGATTCTGTGCACAATGTCATGCACCGTGGACTTTGGGATGTCAAAGCCCAGTGACACCAGCCTGTACTATGCTGCGTGGGCCAGCCAGTAGAGACACACGAGCACCTCAACATCTTTTTCCCAGCCATGGTCAGAATCTGACTTCAAAGCAGCGATGAGGGACGTGATGGACTGTCGTGAAAGCCGGAGGTTTGGAC